AAAGATTCATTTATGAGGAGGGATTTAACCCTCATGTGCCCATGAGAACATTTTTGTCCTTGTCATTTTTGCTTTTTTAGATAATTTTGGCTGTGTTTATGTTTTTGGCATAAAATTGGGTAAAGGTGTGTACAGCTGTGGCCAAATGTTTTGATAATGACACAAATATTCATTTTCACAGTTTTTTCTCAGTTTTTATAATGGCATATGTATATTTTATAATTTGTATACACTCCAGAATGTTATGAGGAGTGATCAGATCAACTGCAATTAACTGCAAAGTCCCTCTTTGCCTTGAAAATGAACTTAATCCCAAAAAAGACATTTTCACTGCATTTCAACCCTGCCACAAAAGGACCAGCTAACATAATTTCAGTGATTCTCCCACTAACACAGGTGTGGGTGTTGATGAGGACAAGGCTGGAGATCAATCTGTCATGCTAACTGAGTTAGAATAACAGACTGGATGCTTTAAAAGGAGGATGGTGCTTGACATCATTGTTCCTGTTCTATTAACCACGGTTGACTGCAAGGAAACACGTGCAGTCATCATTACGTTGCACAAAAAGGGCTTAACAGGTAAGGATATTGCAGCTGGTAAGATTGCACCTCAGTCAGCCATCTATTGGATCATCAAGAACTTCTAGGAGAGAGGTCCAATTGTTGCAAAAAAGGCTCCAGGGTGCCCAAGAAAGTCCAGCAAGCACAAGGACCGTCTCCTAAAGTTGATTCAGCTGCGGCCACCACCAGTGCGGAGTTTGCTCAGAGATGGCAGCAGGCAGGTGTGAGTGCATCTGCATGCACAGTGAGGTGAGGACTTTTGGAGGAAGGCCTGGTGTTAAGGAGGGCAGCAAAGAAGCCACTTCTCTCCAAAAAAAAAAAAACCATCAGGGACAGACTGATATTCTGCAACAGGTACAGGGATTGGACTGCTGAGGACTGGAGTAAAGTCATTTTCTCTGATGAATCCCTTTTCCGATTGTTTGGGGCATCTGGAAAAAAGCTTGTCTGGAGAAGACAAGGTGAGCGCTACCATCAGTCCTGTGTCATGTCAACAGTAAAGAATGCTGAGACCACTCGTGTGGGATTGCTTCTCGGTCAAGGAAGTGGGCTCACTCACAATTTTGCCTAAAAACACAGCCATGAATAAAGAATGGTACCAGAACATCCTCAGAGAGCAACTCCCAACCATCCAAGAGCAGTTTGGTGACGAACAATGTCTTTTCCAGCACAATGGAGCACCTTGCCATAAAGCAAAAGTAATAACTAAATGGCTTGGGGAACAAAACTTATAGATTTTGGGTCCATGGCCAGGAGACTCCCCAGATCTTAATCCCATTGAGAACTTTTGGTCAATCCTCAAGAGGCGGATGGACCCATAAATTCTGACAAACTCCAAGCATTGATTATGCAAGAATAGGCTGCCATCAGTCAGGATTTTGGTCCAGAAGTTGATTGACAGCATTCCAGGGAGAATTGCAGAGATACTGAAAAAGAAGGGTCAACACTGCAAATATTGACTTGTTGCATGAACTCGGTGTAATTGTCAATAAAAGCTTTTCAACCTTTGAAAAGCGTGTAATTTTATTTCAGTATACCAAAGAAACATCTGACAAAAACACCTGAAAACCCTGAAGCAGCAGACTCTGTGAAAACTTCATACTTGTGTCATTCTCAAAACTTTTGGCCACGTCTGTATTTTGGGGGGATAGGTGAAATTTTAACCTCAGCCCCCATTATGCATCAATAATACACTGTGTACACAAAACCGTTACATAAAGGACCTTAAGGATAACAATGTCCTTATTGAAACCCATTGTAACTTCTATTTTTGATCCCTCTGCCATTACATCATGAAATCATGCATTCTATGTTATTATGCTTTCATTCTGGTGCTTCAGATTCAACATTGTCTTTTTTACTGTTTTAAACTAGATTGTGTCATTTTTCCATATTTGGCCTACGAAGCAAATACAGGTATTTGTTTTGTCACTTCCTGCTACATTATAAAGCACTGCAGGCCAATGGAAGAAAAAATGAAATGGTTTGGAGTGTTGGTAGGAATGTCACAGTGTGGTGTGTATGTGTATATTTAAAAAAAATAATAATAGTAATACTGTGTGTGTGCGTGTGAGTGCGTGTGTGTGCGTGTGTGTGCGCATGTGTTTGTGTATGTTTACATTTGGAAGTATGGAAATTCAAATGTCCTACAGATCACAAATTCCACCCTACTGTCTCTTGCCCTCCATCTCTCTCACACACACATATACACATCTTTAGCCATCTATCCGCTCACACTCACATGTATGAACATGCACATGCCCATTCAGGCCTACAGACTCAATAGAATATATATTTATCACACCTTAAACATGCAGTAAATTTCTGTATATGAGTTACAGTAGACATCTTAGCATTGAAGATGTGCGTCTGCATGTGTGTGCCTGGTGGGGGCCTGTTCATCCTAAACCCTGAGCGTGCATGTGTCTCTCTCTCTGTGTGTGTCAGCTATCTCCTCAAGGTGACCATGGCCACAGAACTACTTTAAACCAGTTCTGTGGCATATCAGCAGCATGGAGAGATTTGGATGAGGTCTGGAAAGCTGTTAGTCCACACTTTCAAGGCAAGGCAGTACGTGCTGGCCAGACGGTTCCGGGAGGTTCAAGAGTCTGCCTATGCACCCATAGGTAAGGCACCCCTGGCATTCAGTCTACCATCAGAGAAGAGCTCCAGACCATGTTGGATAGGATACCATCAAGTGACATTCTTATCCTCCTCTGGGATTTTAATGCTCAAGTTGGCAAGAGTTCACCTGAAGAGGACTTCTGGAGAGGAGTACGTGGCCAGCATGGAATTGGCAGTTGCAATGAAGCAGGTGAGAAGCTCCTTGAGTTCTGCACTGTCAACGGCCTATCCATCATGAATACCTGGTTTACCAAGAAGACCAGTCATGTGACAACCCAGAAGCATCCTGCAGTGCATAGAAAGCAGTGGCACAGTGGCGTCATTAGGCCTATTTTAGGGAGGCTTCAGCCCCCCTAAAATATTCTTAAGCCCCCCTAAATAATTTTATGTTCGTCGTTATCCAATCCATTCCACTTGCTCATATAGACCACGCCCACATCACTGAAATCCAGTCCACGTTTTCCCTGCAACCTTGGTTGCAATGTGTGTACTGGGAGCGGAGCACACAGAACCATCTAGAGCAGCATTAGGAGAAGAGCAAGAATGGATATTCAAAATTTTTTCAAGAAAGTAAGTATTGGTCACTGCTTATAGGAACAATAAGTTAGCTCCAGCCCACCAGCTAACAGCAGAAAGTCCCACGTAATTACCAAATGGTGCCTGTTTGACTAATAAAAACCTGGCACTCTGTGGGAGAGAGCCCCATGTACAGTAGGCAGCGTGAGATGCGTGCTGTATCTGCATGTCTTACCATGTTGTTTTTCGGTCAAAAGTTACATTTCAGCTCTAAAAGAACACTGGTACTTAGCTAGCTAGTTATGCTGAAATGCAATGTGAAGGTCCTGGCTGTATAGAGTTAGGTGTGCACTCCTCCTTATACTATCTTTGGGATGACTTCTTTCTGGAGCATCAGCTCCAGCATCAGATGCACACCGTGAAACAGCTCATTCACGGATTATGTCGATAATAATAATGACAATAAGAATGATAGTGAGAGTGAGAGGGGAGAAACTTCTACTGGAAAGGTGAGTCTCAAGGATTTCACAGGATAGAGTCATTTGTGGTGCAGACAGTCGTGGAATTTTAAGGAACCTGATATGAATATGAAATATGAAACATTTCAGTCCAAGTGCACCTTATGAGACTTATTTAACTTGGGCTTTTATTTAGGAGAGTACTGATTGGAAAGTGGAGATAGCCAAGAGAGAGAGATGGATAAGCCAAATTTGTCTCATCCAAATATTTTCAAGAGTACCTAATATATAATTCTAATTTATGTAATTAAGTAATATTTTTTTAGGGCTTGAAATTACAACCATTTTAGTCACATATGTGCTCAAAATGTAATCTGTGCGACTTCAAAATATTTGGGAATAAAAAATGATTGTGTTGTGAGTGAAAGTCATGGCATTAGCCTCTTTGTTGATCAGTTATTAATTCAATTCATTGTGTTTTAATGTATCTTGAAGGGTCAGGCAGAAGGAGATGCAGAGGTAGAAAAAGGAGAGCAAACAGACCAAGAGAGGGAAAGTGATGAAGCAGCTGCAGCATTTCACTCCACTACATGGTTTGATTTAGGTGACAAAGACACAGGGCCCAGACAGGTCAAGCTGAAGAGCTACCCACAAGATAGTTTTGGTATGCAGAAGCGAGCGTTTCACCACAGCTGATTTGAAAAGCACAACTGGCTAGAATATTCAGTCAATCAGAATGCAGCGTTCTGCTTCCCATGTAGAGTATTCGGCAAAAACATCAAACATGATAGTTTGGTCAGGAGTGGTTGCAAGAACTGGAAGAAAGCTTTAGTTATCTTTGGAAAACATGAGATTGTACAAACACATAAGGACAGTGTTGTTGCATGGAAAAGCTACCAGGCAACTAGAAAACAGGGAGACATTGCACAGATGATGGCATCTGCAAATGTGAGTGAGATAGTAGAGAGAAGAGAATATCTCAGGCGAATTGTTGCAGTCACTTCTGTGTTAGGGAGACAGGGACTTCCTTTTCATGGCCATGATGAAGGAAAAGACAGCGCAAACAGAGGGAGTTTTCTTGCGTGCATGGAGCTTTTGAAGGAATTTGACCCTTTTCTTCAAAAACATAAGACCCCATCAAATGCTCATTATACCTCAGCAACCTCCCAGAATGAGATGATTGACTGTTGTGCCCAGGAATGACAAGTGTTATTGTATCTGAAATGAAAAAGTCCAAAATCTATGCCATCATGGCAGATGAGGCAAGAGATGTCAAATCAGAGCAGTTAGCTGTTTCTGTCAGATGAGGCAGTGAAGGAACATTTCTTAGCTCTTGCAGAGATGACATCATTTGATGCCCAGTCCATTGCAAATGAGCTGCAGCAGCAGATTCAAAACAACGGTCTTGCAGAGCTTAAGTGTGTAGCACAAACATATGATGGTGCAGCTGTCATGAGTGGGACCACTGGAGGTGTACAAGCACACTTTAGAAGGCTCCATCCTGAAGCTATCTACATGCATTGTTATGCTCATGAACTCAACCTGGTGTTGTGCCATACTTGCAAGGCCATCCCAGAGGCTGTGGAGCTTTTCAGCTTGTTAGAGTGTGTTTACTCTTTTGTCAGCACCTCCCTAGTGAATCATCACAAGTTCATGGAGGCTCAGACAAGGCTTGGATTGACAACAGTTGAGCTTGTGCAACTTTCAAACACTCGCTGGGCATGTCAGTTGCGGTCAATCAGTGCAGTTCTTGACACGTTGTCTGCCATTTTGGAGTGCCTTTCTGCTATTAGATCCCCCATAGCTGTTGGTCTCAGAGTAAAGCTCTATAAGTTCTCAGCAGTCTATGCACTACTGATGTTTCAGTCACTTCTGTCTGTAACCGAAGGACTCCACAAGTTCCTTCAGAAAGAGACTTTGGACCTGGCAGAAGCTTTGATCTACAAACAAGCAGTGTGTGACACACTTGAGGGCAAACTCACAGATGCATTTGCCACAGAGCTTTATGAGAGAACCAAAGCCCTGTGCCACACCCACAGTATCCCTGAACAAGGTGCCAAGACAAGGCAAAAACAGAGGAAAATGGATGATTTTGCGCTGGAAACAACTTCAGGTGCACAGACTGAATTGGACAACTCAGACACATTGAAAAGAGAGTTACTTTTCCCATGTGTGGATAGGATGGTTGGTGAGCTAGAGCAAAAATTTTGCAGTGTAGATGCAGGGCTACTAAGAGGCATACAGGCATGCGGTCCGAAGTGTGAGAACTTCTTGAGTGAATCACACTTAGATGAACTTGCAAAACACTACAGCATTGACCTGAAAACAGAGGAGGTGCTGGTGGCCAGAAACTTTCTTGCCCGAAAAACAGAGGCTGGATGTTCACCCAAAGATATGTTGACTGTGCACAATCTCCTTGATTCAGACATGTTTCCCTCTCTGAAGGCAATCATCCAAGTTGCTCTAACAGTGCCTGTAAGCAGGTGCTCATGTGAAAGGTCGTTTAGTGCGCTGCGTAGGCTACACTCCTGGCTACGTCAAACAATGGGTCAGAAAAGACTTCACTGTGCAGTAGAGACATCGAACTGCTAGACATTAGCATGCGACCGTACTATCTGCCGAGGGAGCTCTCACAGGTCATCGCAATAGTAGCGTATGTTCCCCCCTCTGCTAACGCCGACGTAGCCCGTGATGTCCTCCACTTGGCTGTTAGCAGGTTGCAAACATAGCATCCACAAGCCCTCCTCTTAATTGCCGGGGACTTCAACCATGCTTCTCCTTCTTCCACGTTGCCAACATTCAGTCAATATGTCACCTGCCACACCAGAGGAAACAAAACTCTGGACCTGTTTTATGCCAACATTCAGGAGGCATACACATCCTCACCCCTGCCACCCCTGGGAAGATCTGACCATGACCTGGTGCAACTTCTCCCCGTGTACAAGCCTCTTGTACACAGACAGCCAGCGTCCACCCACACAAAGAAGATCTGGTCTGAGGAGTCGGTGGAGACACTGAAAGACTGCTTTGACACCACGGTGTGGGATGTGTTCTGCGAGGACCACGGGGAGGACATCGACAGTCTACCAGCTGCATCACAGACTACATCAATTTCTGTGTTGACTCCAACATACCCACCAAGACAATAAGAGTTTTTGCCAACCACAAACCATGGATCACTCCGGACAATAAGACCCTCCTCAAGGAAAAGAGGAGGGTTTTTAAGTTGGGGGACAGGGACCAGATGAAAGCTGTGCAGAGAGAATTGAGGAAGAAGACTAGAGAGGGGAAGGGCAGCTATAGGAGGAGGATGGAGGAACAGCTACAGCAGAAGGATGTCAGTGGTGTCTGGAGGAGTCTGAAAACAATCTCCGGACACAACAGCTCCAGACCTGTGCTGGATAGGGACCAGGAGCGGGTGAATGACCTGAACAGGTTCTTCAACAGGTTTGAGCAGCCATTCTCCCCTCCCCCTACTCAGCCAGCCCTGCTGCAATCTCCTCCCCCGACTGGAACAACAGCTGCCCCAAGGACTGACACCCCAACCCCCCTCCCTGCTGCTCCTCCACAACCCCCCAGCCCACTCACCACCCCCGCGTCCAGTGTGGCTCTCTCTACAGCACAGGTAGAGAGAGAACTGTCCCGGCTGAAGGTCAAGAAGGCAACAGGCCCAGATGGCATCAGCTCAAGGCTCCTCAAGTCAGTCACACAGGAGTGTGCCACCAGCTGACATCATGGCTCCTGGACTTCCTCACCAACAGACCACAGTTTGTGAGGACACAAGGCTGTGTGTCTGAGACGGTGATCTGCAGCACAGGGGCACCTCAAGGAACTGTTCTGGTTCCTCTCCTGTTCTCCATCTACACAGCAGACTTCACCCACTACACATCAAACTGCCACCTGCAAAAGTTCTCGGATGACTCTGCCATCGTCGGTCTCATCAACAACGGAGACGAGAAAGAGTACCGAGAACTGAACCAGAACTTTGTGGCCTGGTGCCGGCAAAACTGCCTCCGGATTAACGCCGGAAAAACCAAGGAGCTGGTGGTTGACTTTTGCCGGCACAAAATCACCCCTCCCTCTCCAGTGAACATCCAGGGAATGGACATCAAGATAGTGGACTCCTACAAGTACCTTGGTGTTCACCTGAGCAAAAACCTGGACTGGACTGTTAACACTCGGGCTCTGTACAAAAAGGGTCAGAGCAGACTCCACCTGCTGCGCAGACTGAGGTCCTTCGGTGTACAGGAAGGCCTCCTAAGGACTTTTTATGACTTGGTGGTCTGCGGTGTGGTCTGCTGGAGCAGCAGCATCACGGCAGCCGAGAGGAAGAGTCTCAACAAGCTGGTGAAGAAGGCCGGCTCCGTCCTGGGCTGCAGTCTCGATCCTGTGGAAGTGGTAGGTGACAGGGGGATGATGACAAAGCTGTCATCATACATGGACATTACCTCCCACCCTCTGCATGGGACTGTTAAAGCCCTGGAAAGTGCCATCAGTGCCAGGCTTCTTCATCCACGCTGTTCCAAAGAGAGGTATCGCAGGTCCTTCCTCCCCTCTGCTGTGAGACTCTACAACCAGCTGTGTTCCCAGTAGATCCACAATGTGCAATATCCCCCAGTTAATATACCACTACCTCTCATTTGCACTACCTCTCAATATATATGTATGTATATATCTACATTTGCACTGCTTATTATTCTCACTATTATTGTTATTATTATTGTTATTATTATTATTATTACTATTACTACTATTATTATATATTTAATCCCTATCTTTATATATATATATATATATATATATATACATATATCTTTTCTATATACCCATTCAGAAGCCCATTTTCATATTCTGTTTGCACTATTCTCGTTGTTTGCACTATTTTTTATATTTATATTTTTTATTCTTTTCTCTCGTATAAGTGTATCTCTGTTTAATGCTGCTACCAACAACGTGAATTTCTCCACTGTGAGATAAATAAAGGCATATCTTATCTTATCTTATATTATCTTATCTTATCTTATCTTATAAGTAGTATCATGGTCAGAGCAATGGATAATGAATTATACTTGTAGTGTTTAGGAGTATCTGTCAGTATCTGTGTGAATGCAATCAGCACAGCAAGTGAGTAATGAAGCATGACCTTAAAAACACAAGTCAATCTATGAAAGAATGGTTCAACATAAAGAAAATAATTTTGGGGGGACAGCCAGGTCAAAGTCTTGACCTTATTACAACAGAAATATTGTAGACATATTTGAGGCAAGTTAGTGAGTTACTGTGAGGTCTTGACCAGATTTCCATACTCCCAAGATTCCAATGCAATCGAGCCAGGATGTGCTGGAAAAAGCTCGATCAACTAAGAACCCACTTGCAACCTACAAGATCTAAAGGATCTTCAGCCAAAGTCCCAGTGCCAGACACCACAGAACAGGACTAGGAGTTCTGTGCCCATGGTTCAAAATGTCACAAGGGGAAATTTGCTATATTAGGCAAATAGTTTTAATGTTGTAGCTGATACAATGCTGTGTATAATTGCTCTTATATATACATTGTAATCTTAGTCCTCCTCTTCCACAGAAGGGGGCAGTCGCATCTAGCTAGCCAGAATATTGGGTCCTGTGTGAACCGTGGAGGTCATAGAAGTAGAGGAAAGGTTGCAAGGGCTCCGTCAGGACAGGCGACAGGAGATGTCCGTTTTAGCATAGACCCTAATCGCAACGTGCGATTGCTGTGGAAATTGTACTCACTTCTTGAGTTTGACTTGCCACCTGCGTACATGGCACGCACTCACCACTTATGAAGAGAATGGAATGCACAGCAAAAGTAAATCACACTTGCCTCACGCGTTTGTGATGATGTACTGATGGTGTACGTCAGTTTGGCGTGATTTTCAAAAAACAAAACAAAACTACTGACTTCCAGCATGATACCGGCCAGCAGCATCTCCAGCGAGCCGACCCACTCCTCCAACAGAGACATGTACTAGCTGTAACACATATTTTCTTTTTTTTTTTAACACATATTCGCTAATGATTACCTCTTAAAAACATCACCGTTATGTCCCAATATAGTGTGAGATCTGCGCATCAGCGATAAAGCCAACAGTGTGTGTGTGTGTGTGTGTCCAGCTCCTCTCAGCTTGTCTCTGTGTACCTGGCTGGACAGTTAGTAACTTAACTAACTCTAAGTGATAAAAAGAGGACACTCAGCTCAGAAACAGTAAGTCAGAGGAAAAGTGACTCTAGTCTCTAATCTTTTCACATGGATTTGTAGAAAATCATGCTGCTAGATCAGACATTAAAATTAACTCTTGTTTGCAAAGGTAGATTTACTTAAAGTGATACAAAACTGATTATAATATGGTATCTCCATTATTTGTTTGAAGCAATAATGCAAACGACGATCACTGGCGAAACGTGAGCCATGAGCACACCTTTTACACTCCTGGCGTGGGGGATGCATTCCCACCGTGTGTTCAATTTTGTTCATGAGTTGTGAGTGCGTGTACGATACTTCACACACAAGGAGCACTTTCTGCCTCGTTGCATGCTACATATGCCATAGACCACGGATTTTCTTCCCACGGTACCTTAAAAATTGCATGTCTAACTTGCAAACTCCTTGTGGGGGGAACAAGTTACACTTGTGGCGTCGCTGTTCGCAGAGAATTCGTAGAGTTATTTTTTGACACGTCAAAACTCCTGTCTGACCTCAAAATTTCACAAGACGGACTTATGTGGCACGTGCCATTCTGCACGTAATTTGGATGCAGATAGGCCGTAGGAGCGTGTACGGCCGGTTGTGACTGAGGCTATAGTAAAGTGAGGACATTACAAATTGTAAACAAAGACCAGAGAATCCAACAATCCAAAAGCACCTTCACTAGAACTGATACTTGGATACCAAGTCAATGCCAAAATTCTGTAAAGTGAAAGTTTGTTCTTCTGTAGTAAAGAACGTAACAAAGGTAATGTAAATACTGTGGGTACTGGACAATAACAACACATGGAATGGTGACAAGTATAGCTGCAGTAACAAGTCCATTGAAACTTGCAAAAAACAACAACAACAAAAGCACAGTGAAAGTTGTAGTGGTGTTTACAAATTATAAGTAAGAGCATATGGTGACATGTCATGTTTAAGTTTAAATGATCAGAAACAAGTTAGTGATGACCAAAAGTCTATACGCAAACTAACCAATGCTGCCACAATGTTGACATCCTGAAATGTTGACGTTATTATTGTGAACTGTGATGACTACTGTTGTGAAAAAAGTTTACAGTTGTAAAGATCATGTATATCACAGCAGTCTTTCTTAGTGACTCCTACAACTCCTAATTTTCTATGATGGAATAATTGAAACACTTGCATCTTTGTCACAAAAAACAACCTAGTATTTTGGTTCTTTCATAGATTTATCACAGGCCTTCTGAAAATATGAAAAAACCTGCTGGGTCAAAAATGTACATACAGCAATGCTAATATGTTCCTTTAGTCATTTTTACCACAATCAGGTGGTTTTGTTGGCCATCCACAAACTTCTGGCAAGCTTCTGGTTGTACATTTGACCACTCCTCTGGACAGAATTTGTTCAACTAAATTTGTTGGCTTTGACACGGACACTTTTTTTCAGCACGGTTCACAGATTCTCGATAGGGTTTAAGTCAGGACTTTGGAAAGGCCAGCCTACGACATCTATTCTAGCGTAATTATGCCATTCCTTCACCACTTTTGATGTGTGTTTGGGGTCACTGTCTTGTTGGAACACCCAACTGCGTCTAAGACCCAACCTTTGGTCTGATGATTTAAGGTTTTCCTGAAGAATGTGGAGGAAGTCCTGCTTCATTATTCATTTTACTTTGTGTAAAGCACCAGTTCCACCAGCACCAAAACAGCCCCAGAGTATAATACTGTCACCATCAAGCTTGACAGTAGGTTTGGTGGTCTTGCGGTTAAAGGCCTTGCCTTCTCTCCTCCAAAAATATGTCTAGTCATTGTGGCCGATTATTGAAATTTTTGCTTCATCGGACCACAGACCATTCCTCTAGAACAGGGTTCGGCAACTTGTGGCTCCAGAGCCGCATGTGGCTCTTTCATACCTCTGCTGCTGCTCCTTGTGGCTTTGGAAATAAAATAATGAGCATTTTAATTTAAATGTATTTTATTTTAGTTCATTAGTTTTTAAAATGTAATTCTAAATTTGAAGATTTTTGTGAACTTGTAGCATTAAAATAAAACGTCTTTAATTTTTTTTCTTGCTTAAAATATGCGTCACAACCGCCGATGTGCAACACCCGCCAGCACGAGCAGTGTTCCCAACTTGGTGACTTTCTCACTCAATGTAGCAACTTTCCAAATCCTCTTGCCGACTTTTTTTTTTTGTCAAAAGCGACTAGCGACAAATCTAGCGACTCTTTCCGGTATTACTGGAGACTTTTTTTTGGTGTTTTGGAGTCTCTGATGTGAAAACACGTATTCTTGTGCAGCTACTGTCTTCAGTGAGCAGCGGTGCCGCCATGAGCTTCTCCCTGTTCCAAAGCACTCACAGGTTGTTAGGAGTCTGGTCAGCAGTCCCAGCTGCAGTCAGTTGGCCAACCAGACGTCATTTTTACTTTGCTGCAGGTGGATAATTTAAGATCGGCTTTTTATTTCATATGAGGATTCAAATAGACATTGAGTATTTTATTTCAAAATAACCTTCAACCCAGCATCTTATTTTTCTGAGTTCAAAATGTTTTTATTGCATGAAATAAAATTTTGTTTTCTCTGTAGCAGTTCATTGATTTCATAAATGCAACACACTATAGTTTTTTTTATACATAGCATGAAGGTAAAAACAATACATCCAGTGTTATCTTCATTTCAGATGTCAAAAGGGTTTTGTGGCTCCCGTTGTTTTCTTTTCCATGGGAAACAGGTCCAAATGGCTCTTTGAGTGTTCAAGGTTGCCGACCCCTGCTCTAGAAGATCTTTTCTTTGTTTATGTGATCAGCAGCAAACTTCAGTTGAGCCTTAAGGTGTCGTTTCTCGAAGAAGGGCTTCCTTCTTGCATGGCAGCGTTTTAGACCATGGTGATATAAAACACGCTTGACTGTGGACACTGACACCTGCGCTTCAGATTTATTAAAGACATTTTTTTGTGGATTTTTGGCTGACTCCTGACCATCCTGACCAGCTGTCTCTCAACAGCAGGTGATAGCTTGCATTTTTTTTCCTGATTGTGGCCGTGAGGCAATTGTGTCAGGCACTTTAAACTTACCAACAACTGTTTGCACGGATGACTTCAGGATCTGTAGCTGCTTTGAAATTGCTCCAAGTGACTTTTCTGACTAGTTCAATTCTATACTTTGCTTTTTCAGATCTTTACTGAGCTCTTTTGACTTTCCTACTGTAGCATCTGATGAGTGTGTCAAATGGGACCTATTTACATTGACTCAGAGAAGTCAGCAGCTGTAGTCAATTGTAATCACTCTCAGGAAGGCAAGCGGTCATGCCACTAAAAACCACTACTTTTTACATAACCAAAACTGATAAGTCAAGTTACTGTTTGATCATTTTTGACCCAGCAGATTTTGTCATATTTCCAAAAGCCTTTTAATAATATATAACAGAACCAAATGCATGTTGCATGTTTGGGTTTTTTTCATTTTAAGATTTAAAAAAAAAACAAAAAACTTAACAAATTCAGAACAGTATTAAGACTGATTTATTTTCTCATACGTACTGTATATAAATTAACATTGTTTAGCAACAATCTACAAGGACATTCTTTCAAACCAATCATTATTAAATTCTATCATACCATAACTGAAATTAAAAAAAAAAAAAAAATCAACAACTATTTCCAGCAACAACAAAAAAGGACTGACATTATTCACTTATTATCAAAACAGAGCACTTTTGTGGATCAGTTAACAGCTCAAATAAGGCAGAAAGTCTGTCTGTAATATAAGCCTGTTTCAAACAAATACTGCATCCTGTCATGTGCCAACTATGTTTTAATGAGCAAGTAATGTAAGACCTCATGTCTTTGTGTGCCCTTTGGTTTTCCAACATGCTTCGATTTGTTCGGCCTACTTATGACTGGTCTGTTTTATAATGAATGACCCAGCTACATGACTGTTACTGTACAATATTTGCAAAACCTTACCCTTATACCGCTTGTACCAGTTGAGCAGGTAAACAGTTTCCATGACAGCACACACTGTATTAATCATGTAAGGACCTGTAGTGTGTTATCTCTCTCCTCACTGCTGTGATGTCTGATTTCTGATGGGTATGTGAAGTGCTTCCCCTAGCATCCCTCCATTAGCATATGTGTCGCCGGTCGGTTGTTCCTCTAAGGATGCGACACAACAAATGCTGGCGTGGGGTAGCAGTAGCGACTGTAAACCACTGTATGTGAGCAGGACATAAACACGAACGGGTTGACGATGTGTGGAGAGTGAAGGTGTTCGAAAGCAAGCACAGTGATTGTCTCTGTCTTACCATCGCCTCCATCGACTCCCAGTTCTTGATTTCGGATCCTGACAGGAGAAAATTCTTTGAATTTCCCCTGAAATTCACCTTCAGATTTATGTAGAAGTCCATGGCGTCGCCTGTGTGCGCGTTACCGCATAATACACACGACGGACACAAAGCGTTTTACGGGACTAGCGACAGCTCCTTGGACCAGTTCAGTCCACCGTGTCTCATTTGACAGGGGATGAGGCGTATTTTGTGTTTACATCAGCGCCTGGACACGCCTACTTTGCACCATGTGTCCGGAACAGCTGCGGCTGCTTCTTCTTACGGTTCGTTATCGCCAACAACTGGAAAGGAGTGTGGACTGGAATTCAAACTATACATTCTCAGATTGTAATAATGCAATAAAAGATATAATTGAACAACAATGGATGACACGTCTCCCTCATACTTCTTTGCAAAAGATGACGCACAGAAAAGCGTAACTTTTTTTTTTTTTTTTTTAAAGTCTACTATCAGTTCTGTTAAAGAATAACACACTTTCAGGCTTCCTTCCCAGACTTTCAACTTTTGTGTTTGTCTTTTTCCTGTTTTAAAATATGTACTTATAAACATACCCATACTTCCTCTGTGTTCTCTTCATGCATCATGCTGACTTTTCTTGAAATTTTGTGAGGCCACTTTCCTATAATCTCTTCTTCCACCTGCTTTTCTTCCACCCTATATGCTTAATTGTGGTCTTAATTTCTGTTTTAGGCTATTAAAAAGTATGATAATAGTGTGATTCATTTTTCTGATGTCCTTTGACCTCCTGTTTGCTTGCAAATGTTAATGCTGACATCTGGAACGTTAAATTAAATACCAGTTTTGTTAGCTCAGTTCATTGAAGCGTATGTATAAATTTGAACATAACTGCAGTAGCTTTTTTTTTTTTTTTTTTTACAAAGGTACATCTGTCCGCGTAAAATAAACTCGTCATCTTTGTTCTTTTTGCCAAGCATTGCGAGGTCTGTGTATTACTGAAAGTAACAAGGTTAAAAAAAAAATTGTATTTCAGTTAATTATTAATGTCTCGCAGTGTTTTAGTGCATCTTGTGTTGGATGATCTGCTTTATGTTGTTTGTAATTTAACAGTTTAGCGATAGCTAGTGCACTGCAAGCAATTACAATATCTTGAAAAGTCTAATATTTTCCAGCAGTTATTTGAGAAAGTTAAAAATTTCATATATTCTAGACTCAATACAAATAAAGTATAATGTTTAAGGTTTTTTTCTATTTAAACTTTGGTAATTATGGCCTACAGTTCCTCAAAAATCTCAAAATAATACTTGTATTTTAAGTGTGAGTAAATTACAACTCAAACAGTAGAAATAAATACTGTGTGTCTGTGTAGTTTAGTATATGCAACCACAATTGCGGGGAAGACTCCTGTCTTGAAAGTCCACAAGGAAGGGTCTGAAAAACTGACTGTTGGCAGAGTGCCGTATTGAAGGGAAAAGTGTGGTAGGAAAACACGCACAAGCAACAAGGTCTACCACAGCCTTGAGTGAATTGTCCAGAAAGAATATAATCTTTACTAAATATGAGCAATAATATAAAAACATCATAGGAGGAAAAAGCAACAGCATTGCAGTGGCCAAAGCCAGGAAGGAATGCTGGCATGAAGCTGCTGCCTGTGTGGATGCATCAGTTCATTAGTTCATAATAAAATATAATATGATCACTGATCATATCAGACAATCAAGCAGATATCAATAAGACAATCTGAGGATTCCTTTAACTAATTTGTTGCCTAATGTATATACTTGCGGCATATCTGATATTTTTTACTTTCAGCTGCAACCCTGGCGGTGTAAAAAGGATGTGGGAACAAATGACGAACAAACAGAAACATAATTCATTATTAACGCATCCTACAAATACAAGCTTTAATGCTAAAGTCAGTTTTCTGTTGTGGGGTCATATTGGTATGGAAAAAATAATGAAATCGCTTTGACATTGCCTGTAGCCAACAGGGGAAAAAAATAAATGAAGGAAGACAGGAGCTTAGAAATCCTCGCCAGGGTGTGCTGTTTTGCCAGTCCCGAAAAACCCTCACACTCCTCAGTGATCCCTCACAGTTCACGTTCCGATGTGTAGCAGGTCTTCGATAAATGCCAGTGATGCCATTTTGTTGAGAACTGCTTCATTTTCTACTCCTTCTGAAGTTTTACGGGAGAGAACTGACTTTTAGTGGGCCGTGTTTTTATACCAGTGATCTCAATCTCCAACATAACCTGCTGCAGAGCAGGCTAGCCGTTCAGCATAAGTTACCATGGTGATGTACCCCGGAAAGAAGGGAACCACCTTCGTAGGACCGAAAACCCAGGTTTTAACCTGAAGTTACCTCGCTAACCCCAAATCCTGCTTCGAAGTACAGGCCCCTGCTGGCTTTGGTTGACTGTGTTTATCAAGTCCAAAGTAAACACAATCATCAACTAGGCAATTTTAGAGCACTTCATGCTTTCATCTGCTGACAAACTTTATGGAGATGCCTAATTCTTTTGCAGTAGGATTTACCACCTGCCAACAGAGCCAAAACTATTAACAAATAACTGTGATGTTACTGTCCATGATTGGCCAACCAACTACCTGGTCTGAATATTGTAGAGAATCTGTGGGGTATTGTTAGGATATTGTTAGGAGGAAGATGAGAAACACTTGACCCAAAAATACAGACAAGCTGAATGCCGCTTTAAAAGGAACTTGGGCTTTAATAACACCTGATTAGTGCCACAATGTCCTCCGTACCACACCACGCTGATGCAATAATGTGTGTTAAAGAGTCCCAATCAAGTACTGAGTGTGTAAATGGGAATACTTTCCAGAAACTTTTTTTGATTAATCGTTGCAAATATTTTAATAATTTGAAATACTGGATGTCTGATTTGCATGAGGGATAAGTTATTATCATGAAAAGTAAAACAAAAAATAAAGCTTTCAAAAATACATGTAATACATGTAAAAAATATGTATCCTAATTGTTTAAGATACACTAGTAGAACACTACACATCCATTACATAATGTATTGGACTGGCGACCTGTCTTCAGACCTATACTGAGTGCTGTTTTCCCCCTGTTTCCAGGTGAAAACAACAAAAAACACACGTGTATTGTGTATAAGTGTACTGAAAATGCATCTAGTATGTATACAGTACATTTCTATTTATTAAAGGGTCACTTCAAGCATGCTACTTAAAAGTATTCTTTTAATACTTGTGGCACGATAATATGCTATCTTGTGCTTTGGCCATCTTACCAACATCTTTTACATAGAAAGCCTACTGGGTTTTATGTGGAATCCTGTGAAAATCTGTTGAGTCATGATATATATAATTAAGATCAACCATGTTTATACTTAGGAATAGTTTTATTATGTAAGTACAAATTTCAAACCATCAGAGTATACTTAAAAACTTAATATCTTATCTTAACAGTTGCTTATGGCTACAAGAGATCGCTGAACACAGTGTTTATTTATTTATTTATTTTTGGAGAAATTCTAGCAACCTTTTCTAATATGATTAACATATGGATAAAATGAATCAACAATTTGCTCAAGTCATATTAAGTTATCCTTTATAATACCACCGCTTAGGTTTTTTTTGGATCCAGATACAGATGAGCCAGATGATTCATAGACATTGCTCACAAACTGTCTGTTGAATGCTATGGGTTTGGCTCCTGCCACACACTCCAGTTTGCCCCCAACCTCTACCTCTACCTGTACCCCTATCACAATCACTATCACGTTGAGGAGATTGATTGTCACCACTTTGGTCAACAGATGCTGGTTCAAATGATTCAGTGTCACTGTAATCAGATGGATCTGATCATTTTCTTCCTCTGAAATGTCAGATTCTTCCAGGTCAGAGTCTTCCTCTGCCTGTAAGATATTTTTCAGGGCTTGTGTAACTGTGTATCTTGCTGGCCTTTCTCTGTTTGACATTGTTCACTACAAACAGAGAGAGAACTATATGTTGTGTGAAGTAAATATGTTGGAAAATTAGCACTTTCTGATGGGGTCCAAGGAGACCCCAATAGGAAATCGGCTGCTACATCTCTCGAACATCCACACATGCATCTAAAAGTAGCATGTACTAGAACAAGCTCATATAGTCAAACAAACTCCTAAAACCCAAACTTTGTTGTGCTTCTGAAATTCTTGCGATAGATGAAAAACATCCAATGTAATATGATTGTAGAAGGGGGGAAAGGCAATGCTGTACTGGGTCAAAATTAAGAAAATACTACCCCCTGTAGGTCCTCTGTAAGGAGCACCTGATGAGGAGGAGGGCCAGTAGTGAGTAAAAATGAAAAAAATAACTGTCCCACTTCTGGTCGGCATTAAAAAAGACCATCAGTGGTACAAAGGTGTGTCAGAAAAGTTTCAGGATCGGTGTCACAAAAGATATATTTCAAATCCAAACTACAAACTACAAGTTTTCCCCTTCGAAGTAATCCCCCTGAAGTCTAGCACACTTTCCCAGCCTTCTCTGCCACACCACCATGCAGTCCTGGAACTATTCTTCCAGGATCCTCCGTAGCTCCGTCGTCACAGCCATCTTGATGTCGTCCACATCTCCAAAACGGGACCCCTTGACTACCCCCTTCAGCTTGAGGAAGAGAAAAAAGCCCACAGACCCAGGTCGGGGGCGATGTTCTTCTTGCCAGGAACTGTCGGATGCTCAGGGCATTGTGAGTAAGTTGTCATGGTGAAGCAGCCACAACTTGTCCTGCCACAACTCTCGCCTCTTCTCGCGCACTGAACAAAGCAAACTCCGCAGAATCTCTTTGTAGACGTGCTGGTTGATCATCTGATGGAGAAAACTTGTAGTTGATAGTTTGAATATGAAATACATCCATCCATCCATTATCTATTACACCGCTTAATCCTCACTATAGGGTCGCAGGGGGCTGGAGACTATCGTAGCCGACTCAGGGCAAAGGCAGGGCACACCCTGGACAGGTCGCCAGTCTATCACAGGGCTACACAGAGAGACAGACAACCAAGCACACTGACATTCACATCTATCGACAATTATGAATCACCAATTAACCTCAGCATGTATTTGGACTGTGGGAG